CCCCGTGGCTGGCCTCGGCAGTGAGCTTCCCCCGGACGCCTGTAAGGACGCTTCGGGCTCAATATATAGCCTCGCTTAGGCGGCTTTTTCAGCTCAGGGTGAGGCGCCGGCGCTACCCAGCGCGCATTGCGGCTTATGCTGATTTAGAGCCGCCCATTCGTCGGAAGGGGGTTGGGGGCGTGTCCCGGTGTGAGGGTTAAAGCGCGGGCTCATGGGGGGGGGTGGCTCCGCCGTCTGAGGGGCTGTGTTCGGAGCTGGAGTCGCGAGCCTGCGTGGTGGGCAGTGGGGCTGAAACCTGCCCCACTGTGGGGCCCCAGGCTGTGCGGTCTCGATTTCGGTCTGACAGGCTGTGGGGCTAAAACTTGCCTGTGACGGGCTATAGGGTGGGGATCCCCTCGTGAAGGGCTGTGGGGTTGTGGCCGCTCATGGCAGGCTGTAGGGCTCGTGCCCCATTGATCCAAGCTGGAGTCCGAGCCCTGTTGGTAGCAGACTGTGGGGCTGGAGCCCGCTGGGGCCGGGCTGTGGGGTGGAGGTCAGGCTGCCCCGCGCAGCTCCAGGGAGGTGCTGTGAGGGCTGCCGGTGGTGCCTGAGTGTGTGGATGGCTTTAACCCTCCCAAGCCCACAGTGCAGGGACTGCTGGCTTTTAATAGTATCAGTGTCTCAAGGCCGATGTAAACTCGGGGCACCTGCGTGGGCAGATACAGGTGTCATCACCTGTTTGTCCCTTCTTCCAGGGCTGCTTGGCTCCCAGGACCACAGAGCTGGAAGTGACGGGCCGAGCCCAGGATGCTGTGCTGGGGTGAGTCTGGCTGACCGCAGCACACAATTCCAGTGGGTTTGCTGAGGACTGGCACCAACTTCTGGGATGTTTTTGTGTCTGTGTGTGCAGGGGGAGGGATCCCCATGTTGCTGGGTGTCCTCACAGCCCTGTGTGCTACAGCTGTGCACCCACGCCTTCATGTCCCTCAGTCTCAGCTGGAGAATGCTTTGGGCAGCTCTTTAGGTGGTCAGTATGTTGCTTTTTGGTCTGGCAGAGGCTTTTTCCTGCCCTACAGTCCTTTGAGGTGGTTTAAAGGGGTGTGAGTGTGTGAATCTCTTGCCTTAGACAGCCTGCTGTTCAAAGACCGAAGGATGATCTATCCTGTTACTCAGGCAATCTCTTTTTCAGAGGAAAATGATAAATACAGGTGAATTCTTGCTTGTGGAAGTTGCAGATGTGGCAAATAACATTAGAAATAAATCCTGTGATTTTAGATTTACTCTTCACATTTTTGGTTTCTTACTCTACACTTCATCCCCCTAGGTTTTTAAGGAATCAAATAGCAAAACTTTTCTGAAGTAGAGTGTGCTGCAAATCCCCTTAGACTCAGTGTGCAGCCATGCACACGGGGTACAGGAGGTTCTTTGCTTGCCTGTCGCACTCTTGATACCACGTTTGGAGATCAAGAGTCATGGAAGAGTTCAGAGGCTGAATCAGCCTTAACTGATGCACCCGAGCTGGGTATCAACACCAGTTAAAGAACTTAGAAAAAAAGAGTCTGTGGCATCTTCCATCCCGCAGGTTATCTGGTTTTTGGTGAGAGGTGATTTTCCATTAGCTGCTTTCTGTAGGTGGGAATGTGGAGGTAGGGCAGCTGTCTGCTTGGATCAGGAGGGCCAAAGGAACCAACTTTTTTCCTGTGGGTCTTTGATTTTATCAGAGGTTGGGAATATCCTGAGGAACCTGGATGTATGGAAAGTTTGCCTGTGAGTTGCTTTCTTGTGGCCTCCCAATGAACTCTAGGTAAACTGGGACTTAAGACTCCTGTTCCCTTCTCCATCCTCTCCTGAGAGCAGTGGAAATGCATTAACCTGATGCTAATTGTTAACGTGAGGGATGGCAGCAATTAGGGTCTGTAATCCAGTCTCTGCATGTGGAGTGCTGTAGTGCAGCCTGGGGAAGCTCTCTGCTAAGCATCCCTGAGCTGGGATGCAGCATTCCAGGAAGCCCTGGGGTGCTCCTAAATGCTGCTGTCCTTGGAGGGAATTGTGTGTGTTCCCTGCACTGGGCTAACTATGGCTGAAACACCAATTTAATTTAGATTTACAGCCCTGTTTTGCTCGATGTTGCTTCCTCCAACAGCATTCCCCTGGTCAGGGTTGCTGAGAGGAGGCACTGCTGTGCCTGACACTCCAGTTTGGGCATCTTTGTCTGTGATGCTTCCAGTCTCACGTGGGTCCCACTGGGCATGGCAAGGCCATGCTCATTTAGAGCTGTTATTTATTAAAAGAAGTGCTGGGGGATGACCCTGTCTCTGTCCCTTCAGCTCCTGGTGACATCAGTGATGCAGCTGGTCTTGCAAGGTCACTCATTTCCCTTGGTTTAATGATCTGCTGGTGAAAACAAGCTTCCATTGCTCTCTGGAGTGTCACTGGGACATGAATATTGATGAAACCTCGGTGGTCCTGGTGCTGTCGTAGCGTGGAGGGCTCATTTGGAGCTGCCAGGCAGTGTGGGGAACTCTGTGATGGAGCGATAATAAAGTGTTGCTGAACTCTGCTCCAAGGTACTGCTCAACACTTGGAACTTGCAGGCTCCTGCCACAGCAGCAAGAGGCTGGGCTGGTGTTTTCCAAATCAGGGAGACAACACTGTGAGCATTAACAGGAGAGGGGTTCATCCCTCAAACATCCATGGGTGTGCTGCAGCTATGGGAGGGTTTGTTGGTTGCAGCTTCAGGTGGCAAATGGTCTGGTTAATGGAACCCAAATATTTTCCAAGGTGGAGCTGGGGCAAGGGTAGATGTAATGCAACATCTCTTGAAATGGTAATTTTGGGCTGTTGGTATGGAAATCACTCTAAGAAATGGGATGTGGCTGTTATAGTTATACAAAGGAAGAGCATGATTTTAAATTTGCAGACTGCATTAATATGGGTGAGTCCCTTCCAGCTTCTGCTATCCTGTGTAGAAAAGTCAAGGTGACAACTGAGTTCTTGTAAAAAAAACAGTTTTTCTTTGAAAAATTAGGTATTTTACATGCTAATTTGGAATATATTGTGCAGTATGCTGTGCCTTTAAAAAGAATATATTTAATATATGTGCTTGAATGGCAGAGGTCTTGCTCTGAACCCTTATATAGCTCCTGCAGTGATAGTCCAGAGTCAAGGTGTGAGGGGTAGATGGTTGGTGACCTTTATTTTCCTAATTGTGGAGAAGGATCTGCTTCACTCTTAGTGTAATGCAGATCTGACCTGCTTTTGCTTAGAGCAGTATCTTCCCTTCCTGCCTCAGGTGTTCTCTGTCTAGAGAGGTTGCAGGAGAGCCGTTCTTCAGGGATTTCTGCTGGATTGCGGCCATAGGATGTTGGCAGTTTCTGATTTTAGGAAAGGACACTAAAAGATACATATTTTCCCTCAAAACCTTCATATAACAGTGCCTGTAGGAGCTGCCCCTTGCTGATCAGGTTTTTGCACCATGTTATGTTGCTGTGCAACCCCTTCCTACACTGATGGACTGTTCCAAACTCCTCTGATCAAACAGAGCATTGCCTTTCTTGTAGGTCCTGCCAGATGTGGCTCAACTGAGCTAATTTTGTTTGTTTTTTTTTTTTTTTAAAGTGGATATTGGCCTGTGTGATCTCTAAGGCAATGGTCAGTGCCAGTGTCTTAGCAGTGTGGGAAACCTGCTGTAGTAGAAAGACTACTGGGCTGCCTTTGGCAAGAATGCACATGGAAATAGATACAGCTGGACTCAATAGTCTTATAGGTCTTTTCCAACCTTAATGATTCCTACTTCCTCATCTTTCCTAGGGCACCTTGGAGATCATCAGATCCCTAAGGATTTTAGGAAAGACTGACCCATTAAATCCTTTCAGAGCTTGTGCCCACACACCAGTGTTTCTGGAGCATAATCCGTATGAGTAAGGAGTAGGAGGGGCTGTGAACCCTGAGGGATCTGTGCCACTGCTCTTGGAGATTCAAGGGTCTGAATAGTACCTTGAGGATGTGGATTATATTCATGCTGAGGGGAAGGAAGCATAAAAAAATTATTATGCTTTTGGCAGCATAGGGTAGAAGCATCACCTTTCCTGACATGTTTGTCTTGAGTGGAGATGGTATCCAGTGGTAGGATGAAGAGAAGTTGCATGCTGTCTGGTGTTAATTACAAAGGGAAAACCACAGGAAAATCAAACGAAATTGAATCCCAGTGCATTTGATATTCCCAGAGTTGAAGGCCTCGGTATGTCTCATTAGTTTAAAACCCCTGATGGAGAGAGCTCAGCTTCGAACAGGAAAATTGATATGACATTGAGACCTGGGAGAGGATTAGCTGCCTGCCTCAGAACTTGTCCAGAGGAGTCGAACATGCAAATGTTCCCAGAGAGCAGCTCCCTGCAAGAAGGATGCTGGATAATTAAGGCCCCTGGGACCACACAGTTGCAGTGAGGTCTGTGTGTCTGAAAAGTCCTTCCACTGCATTCTCTCTGTGGGTAAAATAATGCTTGGGCAGTACAGACAAGCCCAAAGCTTTGTGTGTGCTTGACTGCTGATGACAGAGATGCTCTGTTCTACCTCACAGTGGGATTTGCAGATGCTGGATTAGGATTGAACTATGTGGGGTACGGCATTCTTGAACTGATGAATTGGCTTATCTGGCAAAGATGTCTGTGGAAGGTGTGTGGCTGAGATGTAACCCTGGGTTTGGCCCACAGATGACTTGAGCTTTTGTGGTAGAGTTTAGTTCCATTTTGTGGCAGAGTTTAGTTCCATTTTGTGACCCTGCAGCAGTGCTGAAGGCCCAAACACACCTGGTTGCTACAACCCACTGTCTTTGGTGATATGAAAATTGCAACACCAAGGCAATGTGTATAGAGAGGTGTAACTGCTTTTCTAGTGCTTGAGCTGGTAGGAGGTGCTTGCTGGGGAAAGCAGGCCATGGGATGTACTGTGCCTGTCAGTTTGTACCTGTGAGTCTCTGCTTTGGGCCCTGCCGGGTTTCCTGTTGTGATGAAGTGTTCTCTAACAGCTGTATGTGGAGAGAGGATATTTACCATTTTCTCCTGCAAATCCCAGCAGTGCTACATGCACTCTTAGGCAAGGTGCTAATGATGAAGAATCCGTGACTTGGCAGCACACTGGGGTTTTCAGCTTCTGAAAACAAAATGTGTTGGTGGACTGGCTGTGATCTCTGTGGCAGCTAGAGCTTGCAGACCATACCATACACAGCATCACTGTGCTTCTTGTGTACTCAGAGGGTTGTTTCTAGCTGGGACATTGCAGTCCTCAAGCAGGATTACTGGACTTCCAGCAGGATGATGGAGGCTGTGCAAGCCTGCAGGAATCTGGCCATCAGCATGATGCCTCTTCTTTGGACAGAAACTCCTGCCCAAGTAGCCAGGAGGTGACAATCTGTGCATCCCTCTGGCACAGGCTTTCTCAGAGGGAAATCTTGTCTCTTGTTGAAGCAGTGACCTGAGGCAGGGATCCTCCTCACCCCTCTTCTGCCTGTGCCTCTCTCTAGCCTGCTTAAAATAAACAGACCTTCAGATTCTCCACTGGAAGAGCAGCTCCAGGGAGGAGCCCCAGAGGAGAACACTTGTCCCAGCACAGGGCATCGCTCATGCTTGATGTTGCTGCTGGAGAAGATGTTGGCAAGAGCAAGGAGCCATGCTTTATATAACTTGGTGTCACAGCTTCCATCCGAGGGTAGCCTAGGTCAGGAACTCGCCAGCTTGGGAAAAGCATCAACAAGGGGGACTTGAGACATGGATAATCACCCAAGAAGATGATTAAAATGTAATTGTTGTTTCCTGAGGGGTA